GCCTCACTGTTGGATTAATTCAAGATGGATCCAGAATCATGGCACTGGGGGAAGTGGTGGAACCCTAGTGGCGGACCGGAAAGCTCAGTTGGCCCCGGCTCCTTCCTTTCTCGGCTTCCCAGCCCCTGTCAGCCGAGCCGCTGCCCACCTCGCCCTTCACGTGGCGCTCAGCCCCGTTCGGGCCCAGGGGAGCCGTGTCCAGGTGGAGCCCGAGGGAGCCTCCCTTCCTGCCAGCTCTCCCCTCGGGTGTAGTCAGGGTGGGGGCCGGCGCAGCTCCAGGCTTGGGCAGCCCTGTGCCCTTCTCCCTGCCCGGGGCAGCTGCTGTGCACATCCTGGGCTGCTCGGCTGCCCCTGCTGGCCGTGTCCTGGGGAAGGACTCTCCTCTCCTGCTGTCCTCTTTCCCTTGGATTCTTCTCGGAGCTATCTGCTGGACACTGCAGAGGGGAGCAGGGCAGGAGGGCCCACCCCATGCCTCCCAAACACAAACCCCAGACCTGGTCACCGCCAGCTCCTGCCCCGAGGTGGTCACTGCTGTGGTTGGAATTGGGGGAAAGAACTGCTGTGCCCTAGGGACCTCGGTGGGGTCTTACTGCAGTGTGTTTGGATCTGAAAGACTGTGGGGTCTCCTTTATCATTTGGAAATCAGGACTTCTACGGGTTGTGTCACTGGAACCACGACAGCTGTGGGACCAAGGGCACTGGACTCCCTGCTGACGTCTTAGACCCTCAGGTGCAACCTTCACGGGAGGCGGCTCGCCCCCTGGCCTTCCCACTGCGCCGTCCTTCGCCTCTGGCACTTCAGTTCCAGGTGAACAGAAGCAGCTTCAGCAGAGGTCCAGCCATGGTCCTGCGGGGTGAGTGTCCTGCCGAGGACGAGTGGCAGGGTCCATGTGACATCCTGGGTGGGTGGAGGAGGGACTGTTTTCCTGAGCGGGAGACCCCCTGCCGACTGCGGCCACCTGCCCCACTTTCCTGGCTAGTCCCTGGAGAGCACAAAGGAAGCCGGTCCCTTTTCTTCCCGTCTGCATAAAGGATGCCCTAAATCCTTTGTAGGCCACGTGCCCACGCTGCTTCGCTGCTCTCAGGCAACACTGAGACCACACAGCCCAGCACTCCTGCCTCCGCCCCGAGCGGCAGATTCCTGAGCTGTCCCCGTTTCCCAAGAATAAAGGAGTTAATCTGTAAATGGCCGGGACTTGGCGCCCGAGCAGCAGGGGCTGCCACTGTGCAGGTGTTAGTGGGTCAGGCTGAGGCTGGGCTCCAAACCACAGTTAGAAACTCTCCCAGAGACCAGCTGCTCACCATTTTGTGAATAAAGACACACTTCTCAAAGGGGGCTGTGTCCTGGGCGTCCCCCAGAGGAGAACCCTGCCTGGACTGGTGCGCGTGGTGCCTTCAGCGTGGCTGGAGAGTGACCGCGCCACCTTGCCTGGGGCAGACACCGGCCAGTGACACATCCTCAGCCCACGTCCCCCCCTCAGCAGCTTGTCCTGGGCACAGCCACAACTCCAGCGTTCCACAGATTGCCACCGGACACTCCTGGCCGTGCCCACTCGTAGGACGTGGCAGCTCTGAGCTGGGCGTGGTGTGGCAGGCCTGTCCTCCCAGCCACAGGAGGCTGAGGCAGGAGGGTCTCGGTCTGGAGACCAGCCTGGGCAACTTAGCAAGACCCTCACAAAAAAATTTAAAAAAGATATAAAGTGACCCAGTGCTGTGAGCTCAGGTGACCACTCCCACTCCCTCCTCCACTGGAGAGAGCAGGTGGTGGGGCCTCTATGCCACACGACCCCATCCCACCAAAGCCACCGCGGGACGGAGGGACAGATGGTCTGTGTGGACTCAGCGCGACAGGAGCCCACACTAGCCCTTTCCGGGGCGGGGAGGGACCCGTGGCCTCCCCCATGATGTGTGCTCGTACATCGGGAGCCCCCACCTCTCCTGGTCACTTCTGTAACCTGGAAACGTGGGAAACGCACGAGGGAGCTGCTTCCTCCTGCAGCCAGAGGCCTTGTGACTGCACGACTCACGGTGACCTCACACCTGACACAGCACCTCTACCCGCCAACCAACGCAGGGGACCTGCCTCTGTGTTCAGGAGATGCCAGATTCCTTCCCTTCTTCCTCCCTAGCTTCCACAGGAGAGAACTCAGGAGACTCCATTTCCTGCTTTAAACAGGGCTGTTTCTGCTGGGAAAGAGCCTACCCAAGGAGCGGGCCACACTCAAGTCCCTCCGCCCCACCAAAGGGCGGGTACCTCTCAACCTCCCGGCTAGCACTCCCCTAAGCTAGAGGGATGGCTGCCTCCAGTCAGACGTGCAGGGTGGCAAGCACAGGTCACTGGAGACCTGCTGCTGCTCTCTGCCCTCCTCCCTGAGGTCCTGGGCTGGTGCTCTCTCCCCTCCCCTCCTCCCTGGGGTCCTGGGCTGGTCCTGTCTCCCCTCCCCTCCTCCCTGGGGTCCTGGGCTGGTCCTCTCTCCCCTCCCC